TACCATAATAATCATGATTCATTCGATTTGTAACCAGTCATGTATTGTAAAAAATTTAATTACAAACATTTTTTTCCTCTTCCATTTTCGCCTAAAATCAACTCTTGAAAAGATACATAATTAAATAGGAAGAAAAATATGACATTTTTCGAATTTTTTGAACATATTGTGCCGCCAAAAGTTAAACCCACGTTTTTTTTATGCGCATAGAAAAATGTTCATTTCTAATGATATTTGAAAGCCAAACAGCCAAAAATCTCTGTGGATATACGACTCACCCAAACCAAAACAGATACCGCCTAGTCTATTTCTTCAATTTCACTTTTATCACATTGACGTGTTTCATACTCGTCCAATGGAGTTTGTACAAGTTTTTTCCACTGGTGTGCTAAACTTGTTAATTCATCTCTTAGTTTTTGATGAGTTATTTCTGGTTCATATATGACCAATTTCTCACACAGTTTGTTAAAAACTGGAGCTTTTAAGCCTCAGATCACATGTAATTGTCGGCCAAGGTGAAGTCGACATTTCTTATTTTACTGCCCTAGGTGTGTAATATATATTTTTTTTCATTTCCAAATTTTTCCTTGATTTTTTTCGAATTTATTGCCCAAAATTTTTTTCAATTTTTTTTGAAAATTTTATTTCAAAAATATTTTTCATCCTTCTACAGCACGGACCGGCCCAAAATGACCGCGGCCGATCGGGAAACCTCCCGAGTTCCCGCATAGCCAATCCGCCTCTGATGTAGGTTGTAAAACAAAGTAAGCTTTGACATTAATACGCCGGTGCACGCTAATATCATACCTAAATGGTAGACACTTGAGGTATTTTTATAATATATTCTTATAACTATGAGAGAGAAACGGCAGAAGTAATATTTCAGTAGATCTTCAGTAATATTTGGGTATTAAAAAAATATTTGTGTCACATACACGATGCGCGCATGCATCATCTCCGCGTACTCCTCGGTCTCTATTATTTGAGTAATACTTGATAATTAATTATGAAAATGAGTATTTAACTGTATTATACAAATTTTGATCAACGGTTTTCCCTTCGTATAAATATTTATCCTAGTGTTTACAATATCGGATTGGTTATAGAATCGCGGAATAGTTTTTATGCGCAAATAACTCGCATCGCATTGTTTCTCCGAGACTACCTAGTCAGAAATAAATTGCCGATATTTATTAGTTGGCACAGGTGATAATTATTGTCAGGAAAAATGGCTTGCCAAAACTTAAATGGTCTGTCGTCACGGAATTTAAAAAAACGTACGACGCAAACAAATTCCAGTACCTCTGTAATACTAACTAGTTTTTTTTTCTTCCTTTCAGCACCCTCCCTCACGAACGGTACGATAAAGGAAGAGGACTACAGCGCGGCCCCCGAGTATTTCATAAAATGTCCGCAATGTCAGAAGGGATGTCAAACCTTCCAGGCCCTCAAAGAGCACATGGACGCCTTTCACGCAGAACTGTCGGCCAATTCCGAGAATGGTAACCTTTCCATACCCAACGCGGCTTCGCCCACGCCCACACTGGCCGGCACAGGTGGGCCATTTGGGTGTTCCCAGTGCACGGCATCTTTTTCCTCCAAGGACCAGCTTGAAAAGCACGAGCTTTTGCATTCGCCCAACGCTCAAGTGGTAAGCGCCTTTTTCATTCAACACCAATTACTTTACTCGCTATTAAAATTGGTGCCCACTTCTCTATGCAGGACGTTCATAAATTAGCGTTACGGTTAAAAAAATAAGAGCAAAAGTTCTCACAAGCACAGGCTGCATAATATGTTTCCTAAAGAAGCTACTTAAGGTGAACTCCCAGAGATAAAGCAATGAAATTTAAAACTATGTAGATACTACTACTTTTCTTTAATTGTACATTTTTAATAATTTTTACTGTACTTTAAATCAACTCTACAAATTTTCCGAAAATTCTCATCTAGTGAAGTCATATTAACATGCTTAGAGTACTTTCAAAATCTCATGAACCGCGAAATGCGCATAATTCTTCTAATAAGCACGTTGTGAAAACATTGACTCGGAATTAGACCACGTGCCTCATTACAACCAGAAATGAACTATAGCGCTCGGGCATCAATAAAGTCAACTGGCGAACATTCGTTATATATATTTCTATTGCTTAAATTAAAATAATAGAGAATAGAGCATTTTATTATGATATTTGTAATCGGATCAAAGGCTTGTTTACGCTACGAGAGCTCGAGATAGACTGTGAATAATAGACGTAATGTTTTTAGGACGTAGAATAATTTAGGCAACGGTCGGAATTATGTTTCTGCGCATATCAAGGTCAAAGCTCATAAGATTTTGAAACAACTCTACTGCTCGGAAGTTTACCTTTAAGGGTCTGTAGACTACCCCACTTCCACACTTCTGCCCCTCTCACCCCCTTAAAAGGTACTTCTCCGCCTTTGTTCATATAAACCTTATTTTTAATCGAAGAGTGTGCTGCAAAATATTGCATGCTAATTTCAAGACACCCTGTATAGATAAGCCTTGCAAGCGCTCCAACGCAGAGGTGATTCTTGGAACCCTTTGTTGCAAATAAAAACATAAATCTGTAGTGCAATAAATAAGTCTATATTATTCCCGTAAAGTGATATTTTTGTTTTCAAACCAATACTAAGAAAAGTGTGAAGTATGAGGCCGCTAATAAATTTATCATTATTAAATCATAATACATATACCGTATGCGATAAACTCTCAGACAAACAAAATGACAACAGTAACATTTTTTCCTAAAACGATTCTTAAAGAATTTACACGGATTTTAATTGGAGGGTTGGGTTTTCTTTCACAGATTTGGTTAATCAACTATTAACAACAATAACTGTTGCGCGTCTCTGAAACTATTTCATAAAATATACACTCGGAAATAAAATCTACCACAAACTAAATACCTACTGGGAGAAACACCAAAGAAACCAGTTTTTTTCCTCCATTTTCCTTTCATCATCTAACCTTTGTGACGTTGAACTTTTGAACCTTTAGATTCCTCTTATTTCCAAGGCTTCTGGATATATGTATATTCTATTCAAATTTAACCATAATTGGAGGTTTCAACTATTTGTAAAAATTAAAAGAAAACTTGTTTCATATCCCAAAACAGCATAAAAAATTTTACTCTTGTTTTCTTAATAGTTTTGACAAGAGGAATCAATCCTTACTGTTCTGCAACGTCAGTGTTACAATAACATGTTATATTTTTGGATTACCTTTAACAACGTCTTTTATCACCACTGAATTACGTTTATATTCCTTCTCACAGTTGTTTCGAGAAATATGATGTGTAGTGTAATCACACTACCAAAAAGACGAATATTTATATTGATCACATTGAAACCTTTGACCTTTGTATGTACGAAGAACAGCGGGAGTGATAAAGCTTCTACTCCTACGGGAGTTATTTACTACATTGAACAATGAAAATGACCCAACGGTTGAACGCAATATATGTACAACCAAATGGGAAACACTTTTGTAGACACGACACAATTATTTCGAAGGTTTGATAAATCCTTTTTTGTATCAAATCTATATTTTAAGCATATTTTTGTGGGTGTCCCATAGTAATGTATAGGTATTTCAAGAGTTCAACTCAACTAATTTCGAGAGGAGTCTGATTCTGAAATAGTTTTTATTTTATACGTAACTGCAACATTTTGACATGCATGCTTCTGGTCTTTCTTAATTAATTATAAAAATCTTAAACGTCAAAAAGAGTAATTGACGTCATTGTTTACAAATTTCTCACTGATCTTACTCAGTGGCTAGTTTAATAATGTGTTTCAACGCTAATCACGATTATTTTGATATTTTTAATATTCGTGTAACATTTTTTTGGCCAAATAATTCTAGGTGTATAAAAAATAACAATAGAAGTATATTGACGCGATTTGACTGTAACTATATATAGCATAGTTTTTATTTCTGACGCACATTTTTAACCGTTCTTAATTTAAAAGAATAAAGTAATAAATAGTATTTATGGTATTGAGTTAGAGGTTGGTGAACCCCCTTTTATTTTATGATAAAATAAATTTATCTCAATTTTATACAAATTCTTTAGCAGTTTTAACTTTATTTACTTTATAATGTTAAAGAAGGAAACTTAAACAGGTGGGAAAGGTGGTCTCACGCCACTGTGGGTTTACCGTCTCTATATAAATTCTTAATCAATGACAGTTGCTTCACTTAAAAATTACGGATGCAGGTTTTGCTTAGGTACTTTACACGCGTCAATCATGCGTTCATCGGAAGCGGGCTTAATACACTAACAAAGAGATTATTACTGTTGCACAATAATTGACATTAGTTTACGGTATATGTGGAATTTACTTATTTTTTCCGGTTGTTGGCCAAACGCGGTTTAGTAAAACCGCGGTAAGTGAAACAACTGATACGAGCTTTAAAACATTGTGTTAATACCTACGTTTTTTATTGTCTAGCCTAGATATAGTTTTCCTATTTGCGCAGTATGAAATTATGAGTTTTTATACTCAACTAAAATAATTTATTGTTTATACCTTCTGATATGTTGTAATGTAATGATTGAGCTTATTTTTATGAAACATAACGTGCAAAATTAAATTAAATTACATAAACCAAGAAACAACGCAGGTCGTATGTGTACACCATACAAAATTAATTAAAAAAAAGACATCATGCATTTCTTCTGACAAGTCATTAACGCAGTGTCATAAATTTACCTTTAAATTACTATTTTTAATCCTCTATTCATGTTTAGATGAATATGTGCCTTGAGAACCAAACAAGTATACAGGGTGCTTCAATCATGCAATTTATTTTAAGAGAACATAGGGAAAAATGAGTAGAATATTAATACGCGATTAAAAAAATACATATTTACGCTGAAAAAAAATATATTTAAATCATTATTTAAACCTTTTGGACCGCTCCTGACCGCTGACCTACAAAGGTTTATCGAGAGTGAATCTTGACACTCGTCTTGACTTATCGTATTCGGTCACTTACCTAGCTTTTGCTGTATTTTTAATAGTGAACGACAAACACAGACCCTTTTACCTAAACACATGAATGAATAAGATATTTTTTTACGTCTTAAATATTAACACGTATTATTTATTTGTTAATAAAAACAAAGGATATAAGGATTATAGTTCTTTTCGAATGTTAGGTTATTGTAATTTAAAATTTATATTATACGCTTTCTCCGTTTTATAATTCAATATGACGATCAAACGCTCTGTGAGCGCATTCCCAGTCCAAACAGTGATAAATATAGTAAGGAAAAATTGCGCTTCTACAATGTACCTAAATTATTACCTACCTACTCAAACTTGACAATGAAGCTTTATTCAGATGTTTGAAAAATGAAAGTGTAGCTGTCAAAAAAAAACACGTAACTGAAGAAGTATTAGAAATTTTCTCATTTCGCCATCAAATAATATTAAAATCATAAAAAAATATCACCCCGTATATTATTTTAAATATTTACGATGCCTTTTACAAATATTACAAACATTGTTTATTTACTAAATTACCACAAAATAGTCCGAGATAAATGAAAACAAATGAGCTTAAAATATCAAAAATAGTCATGTACACAAATACATAGTACCTAATATAATTTGTTAAGATTATTTACTATCGCCACAAACTACTTTGTTACGGTTTTTTGCGACGAACGAACTTTTTTCTCATCTAACAGGAGTCAAATTTATTTCGATCCGATATAAAAAACTACATCTTGCAGTTAAAGAAAGTAGAATTTATTTCACTTTTAAAACATTCAAGATAGTATCTATAATTATTATTTATACTTATTGATCTTTAAATCTAAATTAATATCGATACTTTTACTTAATTTACAGTTTCATTTAAGTTCATATATTAGTACAAAAGAGAACACCGTACAAAAAATTGTATTCGCTTCCTGATAAAATGTTATGTGCCTTTTTCCAATGCATTTAAAGCACGAGATACAAAAACCAGATACGTCAAGTTATTGTAGTTGTGAAGTATTAATCAACGTAGCAAGAGCACCGATATAAACCAAAATCTTTATGTTTAAAATAACTTACCTTTGCACTGGACATTTACTTCTTATCTTATTGAATCATACATAATATCACAACACCTAAAAATCCTCAATTAACTTATTGTTAACTAAACAATAGTCACTCATAACCTCTACTCTGCAGCATTCAAACACCAATGCAGCACTACTAACGACGGTAAAAACGGCGCAGCGACTCAAGGCAGTCACGAGCTCCTAGATTTTCGCTGAAAAATTGAAATTAAATAAAATTAAAATATGTAGTCACTAAATTTAATTTTTATAATCTTGTTTTTAGTTTTATATCGATTTAATCTGAATTGTGCATATATCATAGGAAATATATAGGTAAGTAGTAACAAAAATTCACAATATAAAACAAGATTCTTTTTCGATTTTGTTACCTTCTTGTAGACTTGCAAGTTATGGTTATGAGAAATAAATTTATAACATGCAATTTAATACGCGTAGCGGTACTTTTAGATGTCCAATTCGGTTGCAAAAAAATAGATGATTCATGGATTACTATCATTAATGAAAAATAAATTGATGACACTTTAACCAATAATTACTCCTATGCTTT